GAGTCAGGTACTTCTTGGAGTTATCTTTGTGAGGTTCCTGCTCTCTGGGCTGTGGCGCCCGGCAGTTCTGTGCCAAAACCCTTCTGTGCAGTAACACCTCTCTGTTTTCTTAGCATCTGGTTTATGTAGTTCACCAGAGCAGCTGGATGGGAGCGTGTGGCAAGTTCTAACATCACCCTTCAGGAGCTGAGGACCAGCATCAGGGCTACCTTAAGCAGCAAACCCCCCAGCTGGAGCTTGTTAGCCAAGTAATGAGCTCTGGGTGTGTGTTCTTCTTCACTCTGTAGCAATCCCAACAGGTGGCCAGCACTTCAGACAGAGAAGCTCAGCCCAGTCCACCTCTAGAGAGGAAGAAGTAGGTAAGGGCATGTTTGCTGGGGAGCTCCAAAGCCTGGTGAGCTTGGCTGGGTCCGGCCTGGGTGGAGGTGGCAGGGAAAGGCAGCAGCAGTGAGCCCTATGGGGCTTTTCTCCTCAATTTACCCTGGAAAAGGTACACCTCCACCAATTCCTGCTCTTTTGTCCCCTGCCTTTGTTTATCTGTCTTGTTGGAGGAGACACGGAGTATTGCTGCCTCTGAGCCTTGAGAAAGCACTTTTCTTAGTCGCCAACCAGAACGGGGTGTAGCTGAGGTGGGCAGGGAGGCTGTGGCTTTTACTGGTCCAGCACTGGGCTCCCGGGGTTTTTTTTTCAGTGGCCACCCTTGATTTTGGCTCCTGGGTGCTGAGGGTTGAGACGCAGCAGTATGGGGAGAGGCTGTGCCCGTAAGCGAGGGCAGGGCTCGTTATCCTTTGCTTGTTATCCACATCCATGGGGCCAGACATGCCAAAAATTGAGCGGGGGGGAGGGTATTTATTTAAAAAAGCCAAGCAGCACCCCCGTGGGCCTCATGTCCCCCCTGGGCAGAGCGGGGACCGGCAGCACCGATGCTGCCTGAGCTGTGTCCCGTGGGCTGTTGGCAGAGGAGGTACAGTGGGCGCGGGGTGCGGCAGGGAGCCTGCCTGTTTCCTCTTGTTCGAGGCTCACGTGGTTAATTTCTAATCAGCCCCTCCTGTGTTCCTTTACTTCTAATTACCGCTGGCATCAAAACGCCGCTTGACTCCAGAGCCAGGAGTAGCATCTCCCCCACCAGCTCTCCCTTCCAGAAGGTACGTTGGTGTCTCCTGAGTCGTTCCTGATGTGACAGGCAGCCAGAGACCCTCCTTAAGGAGGAGGGGGGGGGTTGCTACCCCCTAAAACCCCCCCTCAATGCTCGGGCAGCTTCCCAGCAGGCGCTTGTGCCCCAGGGGCTGCTTCAACGCCAGTTACAGCTACAGGACACCCCCCCCTCAAACAATTTAGGATGGCAGAGGTGCCTCTGCCACCTCTCCTAGTCACCCCCCCGCCGTCGCAGATGACATTAAGCCAAGATTTAAGCAGGTGACCGGGAGGAAGATGGCCACTGCCAACCCGTTGGCTCCTGCAGAAGAAGGAAAGAACTTTGCAGTGGAGAGCAGAGCTGCAGCTTGCCCAGCAGGGCCTGGTGCAGCAGAGGGGGGGTGGCTTCCCGTGGGGTACATCCCTCTTTTTGGGGTTGCCTGGCTCTAATCTGCAAGCTCCCACCGTGTTGGCCGCAGCTGAGGGCTGGGGGGGGGTTACCTCCATCACAGCTCCACGTTCCTGCTGTGGTGCCACCACCATCTCAGCAGACTTGTGGATGCCACCACCTGCCTGCCCGTGTCCCCCCACCCCAGGTCCCTCCCCAGCCCGGCCAACTTGACTTTTCACCAGGTGCTTTTGCTGAACAACCCCCAGTTCTGGCAGCGCAGCCCCAACACCACGGCCATGGGCCCAGCGCTGCCAGGGGATGGTGGCAGCTTCTCTCCCGGGTGGGTTTCCCCATGGGGAAGCCATGGCTCTGCCCTCCCTCCATGAACCAGAGCCACCTCTCCCCACCAGCCTCCCATCCTTGCAGGCCCTGGTGTAAAACTCCCCTTTCTGACCAGTTATCACAAAAAATCACATCGTGAGAACACCCATCTCATGAGCTGGTTTGGTTTTTGTTATTTTTTTTTAAATATCTCCATTATTTTTTTTTATCCTGATGCTCATAGTGATCTGCAGTCTCTTTGCTGCCTTCGAGTCCCTTGTGGTTTCAGTTTTTTGGTACAAACGTGTTTAGATTTTAGCAAATTAAAAGTTGAAGGGGGGGGGGGCGGGGAGGGGGGTACAGAGCATCTGATCAATTTGTATTTATTTATTTTAACATTTTACTAAATAAAACACAATGAAACCTCTTGTCTCCTCAGCTGTGTGTAGCAGGTGGGCACAGCGGGTCCCACCGGCGCCGGGGGTGGCACAGTGCCTGCAGAAAGTCCTCAGCCCCAGGAGAAGTTTTTGTGCTGTGGCTGCAGCTGGAGGCTCGTTTTTCTCGTCTGCCTGAGCAGAAATGAATTTTAGCTCCAAAAGGGGCTGGGCTGGGTGAGGAACATCTCCGCAGGCTCTGACTCAGGGGGTGCTGGTTTACTTCAGTCACCTCCTCACTTGAGGGCAACGTTTTGGGCGAAGGACTGGTTGGACTGGGAAGGATTATCCAAAAGTGATGGCGCACAGCGGAACACCTTCCAAAACTGCAGAGCCAGCGTTTCTGTAGCCATCTAACCATCAGAAGAGGCCTGCTCCATCCCAGCACTGTCTCGAGCAGAATCTCAGAATGGTAGCGATTGGAAAGGACCTCTGGAGATCATCTAGTCCTGCCAGAGAAGGTCAAACCAGAGCAGGTCGCACATGAACACGTCGAGGTGGGTTTTGAATGCCTCCAGAGAAGGAGACTCCACCACCTCTCTGGGCAGCATCTTCCAGGGCTCTGCCACCTTCGAAGCCAAGAAGTTTTTCCGCATGTTCAGATGGAATTTCCTGTGGTCCAGGTTTGTGCCCTTCTGCTGGCTAGATCTGACCTAAACCTGTGTTGTCACTCATCGCAGCAGCAGAGCGCTGTGCCTGAGCTTTTGGCTGTATGAAACCATGTATGAAACAGCTTTTGGCTGTATTAAACCTGCTGGGGACTGGTGGGGCGGCACCATGCCCGGCCTCACAGCCATCAGCCCTGTCTTTCCAGCCCTTTCCCAAACAAAACCCTCCACAACTTGCTCCTGGCCTCTCCCCACCTCCTGCAGTTGCAAAGCCGGCAGCTCAAGAGGCCCAAGAGCCAGCTTTGACTCCCAACAGTCTTGATGGACTGGTCACTGGCCTGGGGAACGAGCCCCGACGCCGCCAGAAGAAGAAAACACATCTCCTCTCCTTGGGTGTGATTAAACTGACTCCGTGTCTAAGCCCTGGAGCTCCAGGTTGTGTTTAAGGGGCGCTGGCAGTGGAGGCTTGATCCCACCACATCAGTCAGTGACCACCAGCCCTTTCAACAGCTGGCAGGGGGACTGGTGTCACCCCCACTTGGTGACAGGGGCGTTTCTTTTTGCCTGGTGTTGCTCCCTGCTCCCCCAACCCTCCCACTGTGCCAGCCAGAAAGGGAAAAAGGCTTCAAAGGCAGCGGGCAGAGCAAGCCCAGCGACGCTTTTCCACCCCCATCGCTCTCCTCCTGCTGATTTCCATCCCCCCCACCACCAGGGAACACGTGCAGGTTCGCAGGAAAAGGAATAACCAGGCAGTTCTAACAAGGCCGTGAAAAAAGAATAAAAAAAGCTTTAATTTAAAAATTAAATTAAAAAAAGAGAGAATGAAAGCAAGAGGCGCTTGTGCCCTTTCCGTACCCCGCGCTTCGCGTGGCTCCTCCGCGCTGCTCCCGCTGTGGACGGACGCCCTCGCAGCCCAGAGGAAGGCTGAGGAGACACCAGCAGAGACCACAGCAGCCACTGGCCTGGAGAGCCTCCAGGGCCACCAGCAAAATCATCCGGGAAGAAGAAAAGATTGAAAAAAAAAAAAACCAAACCAAAAACCCCCCAAAAAACAACCCCAAGACACCCTAATCATTGAATTCTTATGAGAAAAGTATTAAATAATTTAAATAGCGTGAGGAAAGCGACGCATCCTCTGTGCTCCAGTGTGTGACAGCGGTGGAAGGGTGCCCTGCCAAGCTGCTCCCGGCGTGGGGATCCCACCACAGCGCTACGGTCTCCTCCAGTGCCAACCACGTCCCCCACTGCTGATGGCAACATCTGTGCTGCCCAGAGCTGGAGAGGAGCTGGGTGGTGTCCCCCTCGCCACGAATTTCTCCCCAGCACATGCTGGCCCCCATGGCTTTGCCTCCTGGTGATGGTGCGGTTGGCAACCCCAGGATGGGGCAGGATGGCTACTTCCAGCCGGGAGGCACCGGCCCATTCCAGCAGCTCATGGCTGGGGACAGCAGACAGCCCTTCCTGCCCCTGGTGACTCCCCCAGCACCAGCACTGGGCCAACCCCATTGGAGACTCTGCATCCATACGGATGGGCAGTAACAGTATTTCATCCCATCAACCAGCCCAGCCTTGGTCCTGGCTTGAACCAGGTCTCCACGGCTCCTGGCACTCCCTGGCCCCACCACCCAGGGTGCTGGGAGGCTTCCTCTGAGGTGGGCTCCACAAAGGATGCAAAAAAGATGCTCTGCATCCTTTGTCTCCCCCTCCCCAAAGCCCTGGGAGGGGTGTGGGGAGGAGGGTTGGGACCCGGGACCGCAGAGCAGAGGCAGAGCGGGGTAAGGTCAAGCTCCCGGGCCTGAAGGTGAGGTGAGCTAAGGAAAGCTGAGAATCCAAATCTGCTAAAAACAGGGGAGGGAGGAGACCCGTCCCCCTGTCCCCGGGCAGGGGGAGGTTCCCCTGTAACACGGGAAGGCTGCCACCCCGATAGAACCCCCCTCGACCTGCAGGCACTGCCTCTTCTGGCAGCTGGCACCTTCCCTCTTGGCTGGGGGCATCCCATCCTGGCTGGGCTGGAGAAGCTGGCGATCCTGGCTCCCTCAGGCCAGGCTGCAGCAGTGGGTCGGGGCAGGAGGGAGGACCTCATGCTCCCAGTTTCCCCAGCGTGCTGCTGGCACCCCCGCTGTCCCCCGGCCTCACGGGCTCCTCTCGGCGGTGAGGTATTTGAGGGCAGCAGCCCCATATCGCCGTGACAGGTCCTGGTGGAACTCCTCCCGCAGGGTCTGGAGGCAACCCCGGTACCCGGCGCTCAGGCGAAACTTGGAGATGTCAAAGCTGGGGGCATGGGGCATGTGGATCATGAAGGCGTTGGGCAGGACCAGCAGCTCATATTCCTGGTGGCAAAGCAGCAGCCCCAGCCGTCAGCGTCGGGTTGGTGGTACCAACCCAACACCCAGCACCTCCAGGGTGCCAGGAGGAGCCCCCTCACCCACCTGCGCATCCAGCTCCATGATGTGGGACACCTTGTTCCAGCCGAAGCCCACGAACCTCTGGTCGTACTTGGGGCAGTCTCGCCTCACTACAACGTAAGGCTCGAAGTCTGGCTGCCACGCCACGCGGTACGGCACAGTGGCTGTCCGCCACTTGGCATAGTCAGTTGGGGCATGGCCTTTCGGCCACACGTGGTACCTGTGGGGAAGAGATGGAAATGAGACGGGCAGAGGACACAAGGGTGTCTTCTGAGCCGGCTGTCCCACAGCCCCGAGGCACAAGGGTAGAAAACCAGCTTCTGCTGGGTGTGACAGCCCTCTCGGGCAGCTCTGGTCCTTACCTGAAGGTGTAGAGGGAGCCCATGTCCAGCATGGAGAGCAGCTCGGCTTTGGATTTGGGGAAGGTCAAGCGGTAGTGCAGGGTCTCGAACGCCGGCACGATGAGAGCTGCCTTCCTCTGGGGCAGCTCCAGCTGCTGGATGGAGTTCCTACGGTGGTGGGTAGGAAGGGTGTGAGTTCTCCCATGCCGGGGGGTCCTCAGCCCCTCCAACCCGCCCACCGCTCCAGAAGGGTATTAATGAATTTGGACGCTTTGCAGCGGTGCAATGCAGGGGGAGGAGGAGGAACGGGGCACCCCTTGCAGCCACGGCTGCTTCTTCATTCTCTGGCAACTGACCAAAGCACAGGCGGGATCCCGAGGTTGGACACAAAACGGTTTCTGCATGTTGAGAACTGCTGCCCAGGGCGTTCCCCTCAAACCCTGCTGCTTGGGGAGCCCAGCAACAGCCGGCTGGAGCCAGCCTCACCTGAGGTAATCGTAGAGGCCATACATAGGCAGGAAGTCAATGTCCGTCAGGAAGACGTATGGCGTCTGCGTGTTGGCCAAGGCCACGTTGCGCAGGAGGTTGATGGGGTAGAACTGCCCCTCCTTGTAGACGATGTGGTAGGCCACGTTGCGGCGGGCGCTCAGCACCTCGGAGGCCTGGGCGTAGCGCAGGAACTGCTGGGCCTCCGCGTCCGACATGTAGAGCGCCAGGCTGATGGGACCTGCCCAGTGTTTGCAGATGGCCTCCAACATCTGTAACCTGCGGAGCAGAGGGCACTGAGTGACAGGGAGCCCTGCTCCATGACACCATCGCCACGCTCAGAGCTCAGTGCACGGGGAAGTAGGAAGACTCTCCCCTTATGAGGAGAGACTGAGAGAGCTGGGACTCTTTAGTCTGGAGAAGAGAAGGCTGAGGGGAGACCTTATCAATGCCTACAAGTATCTCAAGGGAGGGTTGAAGGAGGAGGGAGCCAGACTCTTTTCAGTGGTTCCCAGTGAGAGGACAAGGGGCAGTGGCCACAAGTTGGAACATAAGAGGTTCCACTCAAATATGAGGAGAAACTTCTTCACGGTGAGGGTGACAGAGCCCTGGAACAGGCTGCCCAGGGAGGGTGTGGAGTCCCCTTCCTTGGAGATTTTCAAGACCCGCCTGGATGCAGTCCTGAGTAACATGCTCTAGCTCTAGGCAATCCTGCTTCAGCAGGGGAGTTGGACTCTCTGGATCTCTATGGTCCCTTCCAACTCTAAAATTCAGTGAAATTCAATGAAATTCAGCGAATTGCTGCTCCCAGCTCGGGGTGGGAGGAGGTTCTGGTGAGGAACCTGCATTAGAAATCTCCTGGTAGCTCCCCAGCTGTGGAGCCACCCCAGAAGCACTGGACAGGGGGGGTGACCCTGACCTCCCACCCGACCCACCGGCAAGTACCTGTCCATGGAGAGCTGGGCCACCAGGGTGACATCGGTGGGGTTGGGAAAGGCCAGGAACTCGTACTGCAGGAAGAAGAGGTGGACGCGGTGCTGGGTGAGGTGCTGCCGGCGGAAGTCGTAGCAGGGATCATCCTCGTCCAACTCCTCCAGTGCCCGCTGCAGCTGCAAGGCCAGAAGGGTGAGGTGGGGATCGGGAGCTCCAGGGCGATCTGGGTGGGTTGGAGGCAGCATGGCAATCACCCTCACCTGGTTGCTGGGCGGGCTGGGGAGACTGGCACAGCCAAAGAGCTCCCTGCGCAGCAGGTTCCCGTCGTACTCCAGGAAGGTCAGGTAGAGGTTGCGGAAGAACTCCACGTGCTTGTTCTTCACCCGCAGCTTCTTGGGTGAGTTCCAGTGGATCACCTGAGGGCAGCGGCGTGTCACC